GGGAGAGGGAGAAGCAGGCTTCCCGTGGAGCAGGGAGCCCGATGCGGAGCTCGATCCCAGGACCCTGGGATCATGACCTGAGCCAAAGGCAGACGCTTGAAGACTGAGCCACCCAGGCGCCCCTGGAATGGCTACTTTTTAATGTAAATTTCACCTCAATAAAAAAACAAAAATATACATATGCACACATGCACGCATACAGCCTGAATTCAGTTTCAGGGGTTCACACGTTCCCTGACGTCCACCCAAAGAGGCCAACAGAAAAATTTTTATGAAGAAAGAACCGAGCTTTAGAAACAGATCTCAACCAGGGACGACCTGGGTCTTCCTAGCCGGCAACTGCTGAGGTACACCACATTTTCCCTCTGTTTTGTCACACCTGAGAAATGCGTCGGTTCTCATAACAACAGTCACCTGAGCATCTCCCCTGCTCCAGGCCCTGTGCCCCTAAAATTCCTGTGGTGAAGCCCTGACCCTCAGGACCTCAGAAGGGAACAGGGTTTGGAGACAGGGATCTTTAAGGATGTAATTAAGTTAAAATGATGTCACTGAAGGGGCCCTAATCCAGTATGACCTGTGTCCTCCTAAGAAGAGGTCAGGACACAGACACACACGGAGTAACAACCACGTGAGGATGGGAGGGGGCGTCTGCACACCGAGGAGAGGCCTCAGAAGGAACCAGCCCTGCCGACACCTCGATCTCAGACTTCCAGCCTCCAGGAATGATCTCGAATCAGAGGTGGTCTGTGGTCTAGGGGCGCCGCATGCTCTCCCTTCTCAGCCTGAGAGCACAGGACTCTCAACCGGGGTGCTCAGGGCATCTAGAGTTATGACAGTAACTCTCGAGGCAGTTCCAGGGTAAGCGTTTTGAGCTGGGACGTGGCCTGATTCCCCAGACAAAAAGGCAGGAATCACAGGGACTAAGATGACCCAGGACCTGCCCTCCCAATGTCTACACACCAGGGTGCAAGGGAAGGCGGTGGGGAGGGGCCCCGAGCAGTGAGATCATGGAACCCCAGAGAGAACAGACCCCGGGGGGGGCGGGCAGTGCTGAGCTGCCAGGGCTGGGGTCAGGGTCTGTCGTGTGGTCCTCATGAAGGAAGTCTGCCACGGAGCCGTTCAGAGGATAGACAAGAAGAGCAGAACATGGATCCACAGAAACACGCCAACAAGTTCATGTCAACTGAAGAGAGAACATAGAAATCCGGCCAGAAAACCACAGCCCCTCACGGATCAGGGAAAGGAGAGCTGCAATGTGCTGGTGCCACGAGGCTACCGGGGAAAAGGTCTCTTAAATTCTCCCTGCGTGGTTAAAAGATATTGTAATAAGAACTTGGATCTGTTTAAGGCAAAGCTGGCAAAAAAAAAAAAAAAAAAATCTAAGTACTGACTTACAAATAGAGGTTTACCTCTAAGGGGTGGCATGGTGGGAGGGGCTATTTTCTACACATTTCTGTTTAAACTCCCCAGCAACTGTAAACAGAAATAACGGGCAACTTTATAAAATGATGCGACTATATTGTAAAAACTGGGGAAAAACCTAAATGCCCAACAGTTTTAATAATATATTGATTAGAAATCATCCGTGTTATAGACTACTTCTCAACCGCTAAAGACTACTACTTAATATCGGACATGATTACAAAGAAATGCTCAGCATTTCACACAGAGTATGTGCATGATTGCCAATTCTGGAATTCTGGGCTTCATGCAGCCGCCCTGTGTGTGAGGCACACGCAGCACTGCGGAGAAACACGTCAGGTTGCGTCCAGTCCTTGGCATGGAAGCCCTCCCACGTAATGTGGGCATTTTCTACCAGCTGCTCCACACTTTTTACACCTTACAACTTACGACTGTGGCTGATCCTTATGAATGGAACTGAAAGCAAATGTTATTTTTATAAATAATAAAAGGAAAGCCTTACTCTGTCAAAGAAGTTGATGATAAACCCTAGTCCTTTCATTTTGCACCCAAATGTTTAAAAGCAGTCAAAAGGCAGACAAGGCACAAAAGAGACTATCTCCAGGAGAACTGAACACTCTCGTCCCCACAGAAATCTGCACACACCCATGCTCAGCAGTATGTTCCCAGCAGCCAAAGTGGACACAACCCAGATGTCCATCAACTGATAAACGGATACACACAATGCACCCACCACACACGGGAACGTCATTCGGCCATCAGGTGGTGAATGGAAAAACACGTGAAAATGGCCACCAGCAGGAGCCAGACACCCACACGCGCTGCCCCGGGGATGGACCCTGAGCCCACAGCGCTCAGGGAGGGAACCAGACACAGAAGGCCACACGGGGTGTGATCCCACGTGTGTGACACGTCTAGAACAGGCTCATCCACGAACGGGAAGGGGGCACGTGGGGGCTGGGAGCTGGGGAGGGATGGCGGATGACTGCTGATGGAGTCATGGAATGTTCTGGAACTAGCCAGTGGTGGTGACTGCACAGTTCCGGGAGTGTACTAACAACCAGTGAATTGTGTATTTTGGAAGGGTGAGTTTTGTGGTATGTGAATGGTATCTCGATTTTTAAAAAAGTGTGTTAAAAAAAAACATGTTAATCATGCAGAAAAATTATCTGCATATTCGGGCTAAGGGCATAATTTCAGCTAGGAGGCTCCTGGGAGGGAAAAGCCAAGAGCAAGCACATGCATTCTAGTTCTGCCAGTATCTGTTCAGTCCGGCTGGTGCTGAGTAAAAGGTCGGGTTGATACGGGAAAGCATTTCAACTTCACACTACAGAGCCACGCTAAGCGCACAGCCTTCCCCGAGGTGATAATCTACACAGTGGAAACAGTAATATCTACTGAACAGTATTATAAAGATTGAGATGATGCATGTAAAAGAATAACAAATAAAAATAATAAAATACATCAGAATGAAACTGCGCATTAAAAAACAAGAAAAGCAGGGCAGGGGGGCAGAGGCAGCCGGAGGCGCAGGCCTCGTGAGGGAGGAGGAAGGCCCAGGGCGTGTCTGGGGAGGCTGGGCTGCCTGCCCCCCCCACCCACCAGGAGCTCCTGCCCCGCCCCTACCTTCAGGGCTGCAGCCTTCCGCTTCAGGCCACTGTTGTCGCTGCTTTTGTCAGAGTCTGAGTCACTCTCCATCCTGTCGCTGGCCGCTGTGGCGGTCACGGCTGTGACGGCCATGACCCCCCGGACCTCGTCGTCCTCGCTCTCACCCGCCGGGTCGGCTTCAGGGGCCTCGCTGTCAGACGAACTCACCGGCTGGGGTGGGGGTGGGGGGCACAGACCATGAGTCACCATCAGGCTGGGGTGGATTTCCCAATCAGGACGGTGACCCAGAAGGCAGAACCCACGACGGGGTCTCAAATGTCAGGGTCTGGCCCCCTCACTTTCCAAACTGGGGACCCGCGGCCCAGAAAGCCCCGAGAACGGAGGCTGGAGGGCGAGATGACACGCGCAGGGGGTGCTAGGATTACAGATCAAATCTTGGGCCAGTGATTTAGCCTCTCAGTGCCTCAGTTTCCCAAACCGAGCAATGGGGACGGCACCATTTTGGCCTCACAGGGCTGTGGGCAGGATGAGGCAGAAGTGGGATGTGACATACTGAGGACGGTGCCCAGCCTGGCCAGAGGCCCACCAGAGTTGGCTTTTCTATCATTAATACTCTCATCGTCATGAACACAGGCCCTCCAGGCTTGCCCTGCGAGGCACTGTGATTTCTGTGTCACCCAGCGTGCCCGCTCAGGCAACAAGAGCCACAGAACCAGCAGGTGCTTATACAGCAACCCCTTCCGAGCTCGCCCTGTGCCGGGCTCGGGACATACTCAGCGGGCGCGTGGGCAGGGGCCTGTGTCAGGCACCGGGCGGGGTAGGCAGCGAGCCTGTGCAGGCGAGCACAGCAGGCCCCTGCCCCCAGGGGGTTTACAGTCCAGGGGAAGAGGTAGCCGGGAGACGCTGCGGCATGTTCATGTCACACTGTGGGGACAGGGAGAGAGGACAGCACTGGTACGTGGGTGCCGAGGGATCGGGGAGTGGCAGGAGTATTCTGAAGTGCATTTTGGGGCGGAATCTTGGAGGGCGTGACATTTTAGTTGAGAAGTTGTCCCAAGCATGCAAAAGGGCAGGGGCTAGACGTGAGCCGGACGGCATCCCTGCCCTCGAGGAGCCCACATGCTCACGGGGGACAAGGACATGCACAGTTACAACGTGCCACGGGGTGCCCACGACAGTCCTGGGGTACCCAGCACAGCCGAGCCTGAGTGTAAAACCCGATCGTGTTATTTCGTGGGACTTCTTTACTGAATAACTGATTTCTCTCTTTTTTTTATGAGAGAGATTGAGACTTTTTAAAGCTACATTCTCTGCAAACAAGGCTAACGGCCACCTACTGATAAACACAACATGGCCCGGCTACAGGACGGAAACCACTCTGCCATAAAAAGGAACAAGGCTCTGACGTGGCTTACAGCGTGGATGAACCTCCAAAACACGCTCAGTGAAAGAAACCAGGGGTGAAGGGCCAAATAGGACTCCATTTCTGTGAAATATCTGGAATGTGCAAATTCATAGAAATAGAAAGTTCATCAGTTCTCAGAGATGGGGCACCTGGCCAGCTCCGTCGGTGGAACGCCCCATTCTTGATCTCAGGGCTGTGAATTCAAGTCCCACGTTGGGTGTGGAGCCTACTTAAAAAAAAAAAAAAAAAAGGGTTTGGGGCGCCTGGGTGGCTCAGTCGTTAAGCGTCTGCCTTCGGCTCAGGTCATGATCCCAGGTCCTGGGATCGAGCCCCACATCGGGCTCCCTGCTCCGCGGGAAGCCTGCTTCTCCCTCTCCCACTCCCCCTGCTTGTGTTCCCTCTCTCACTCTCTCTCTGTCAAATAAATAAATAAAATCTTAAAAAAAAAATTATTAAAAAAAAAAGAGTTCTCCAGGGCTATGGGAAGGGGAGAACTGGGGATGACAGGTAATGGGGAGGGGGCTTCCTTGTGGGGTGATGGAATGTTCTGAGTTAGATAATAGAGATGATCACGTGACACTACAAATGTATTAAAAGCCACTAAGGTATATGCTTAAAATGGTTAAAATAGTGAATTTCCTGAATCAAAAAAAAAGTCACATTCCGTGGGTGTCATCACAGCTGGGGAATCAATGGGTCGGAGTGCTGCATGCACGCCGGCCAAGAAAAAAGCGGGGAGGACAAGAAGGAAACGAGAGCACATGTGAGGACCCTCGAGGGCCACACCGACAGGACGCACGAGGGGAGACCAGGACTGGGGAGCAAGGAGAAGCGGAAGCGCGGGCCGCCAGGGGCTCAGGAGGAAGGGGACCCGCCAGTGCTGGACAGAAGACAGGCAAGGTCTTGGCAGCACATCAACATGGAAACGCATTAGAAGAGAGGAAATGTGGGTGCCAGAGCGGGGGCAGCCAGAGGGAAAGGGCGGGAGGGGACCCGGCCCGTCCATGACCTCTTGTAGGAAGCCCCCAGTCCTTCCCAGGTCATGAGCCCATCCGGCCTGCACGTGGCCGGGTTAACAGGTGAGAAAAATAAAGGCCAGGTGTTGGCAGGACCTTGCACTCAGCACCGAGGACCTTTTATCTCCCCTGTGGCACAGTGACAGGGCCCGATCTGTATAATGGTTGACAAGATTGAAGGATGTAACACTAAGTAGGTCAGGCCCCGAACCTCAAACGATAGGAGAGAATAATGTCGCTTTCTCGGTGGACTTCCATCACACCTTGCACCAGGGCACGGACTCTCTTCACGGCAGCCCTGGTGGGGAGCAGGGAGACATGACCCCTGTTCTCCATGGCGGGGGAGGCACAGCAGCTTAGAGGCTAAGTGACTAGGCCCACGGCTCTCCTACAGAAGGGTCAGCTTCAGTAAGGGCTGGCACTGGTTCAGAGGGAGCCCTTGCCCCAAGCTCACCATCTCTCTCTGGGTGTACCGGGTATGAACTGTGACCCTCATTTTGCAACTGAGGAAAAGGTGGCGTGACAGCTCAGGATCACAGCGACTACGTGACAGGGGCGGGATACCAGTCAGGTCTGCCTTGGCCTCTAGGCCCAGGCCACTGGACACAGCTGCTGCTGATTAAAACCCCTCCTTCCTTCTGCCAAGCTCCCGACTAACCGGGGTCCAACTCGCGACTCTCAGGTGTGGCCAGGTGGCTGGGGCAAACGGGCCTGTCCCAAAATTAGGAAAACGGACTCTCTGGGAAGGTAAGTGACTGGCCCTACCTTTTGCCTGTAGATAAAGCCGGGAACTCTGGATCTCTTGGGGTCAGCCCACGGGATCTAACTGCCTGCCGGCAAAGGTTTGGGAAAATCTGGTCCACACAGAAAAGGATGGGGCTCAGAGAGGAACCAGGAGACAAAGCCTAAGAGCCAGCCGACCTCCAACCATCCTGAGCCTGACGGTCTGGTGAGGGAGGCGAGCATTCATGTCTCTCAGTGCCTTAATGGATCAGGAGGATGACTGAGGCGGAGCGGGAAGGTCATGTCCAGCCTGGCCTCATTCGAAACTGGTACCTTGTCACCTGCTCAGCACTGTGCCTGTGCTAGATGCCTGATGTGCACTTGCTCATGGGGCTCCCCCCGGCAACCCTGGGAGACGAAGACACTACCATGACCCTCTGTCTTAAACGAGGAGACTGAGGCTCAGAGAGGCAATGTGGAGCCCCAAGGCTCATAGTAAGCAAATGCTAGAGCCGGGACTCAAACCCAGGTCCCTGTGCTCACACCACAGGGCTCTTAACCCCAGCCCAAGGTGCAGAGATTATTCTTGGGGCCCTCCTCCAGCCTGGGACATGGGAGGCCCGGGCTTTAGCCCTAGCTCATGCTCACCAGCTTGAGAACCGTGGAGAGGTCCCTGTCCCTTTTCCTCTACTGAGGAACCAGCATGTATTTCTAGGATACTTCTAAGTCAATGGTTCTCAACCAGAAATGACTTTTGTTCTCTTGGCAGCATTTGGCAATTTCTGGGGATATCCGAGGCTGAAACTGGGGCGCTCCTGACATCCAGTAGGTGGGGGCCAGGGATGCTGCTAAATACCCCACAGTGCCCAGGAGCACCCCCCTCCCCGCCCACCCCGGCCTAGAACGATCCAGCCACAATTGCTGAAAAACCCTGGTCTAGGTCTAAGAGGTCTCAGATTCTAGCTGGGTCCCTCTGGGCCTCAGTTTGCTTATCCGGAAAATGAAAAAGATGCTACCTGCCCAGGCTACTCTCAGGATTACTGTGCGAATCAGAGGACAATGAAGTTGGAACCACACTCAGATACCACTTTCCACCTCCCACCTTGGCAAGGAGATGCAGGAACAGGGCTTGCTGTCCCCTCTTAGTGGAAGAACCAGCTGAGTTAAGGCTGTCGGGAAGAATATGTTCTCTGCATGCAAACCAACGTCAAAATATATTATGGGGCGGGCGCCTGGGTGGCTCAGTTGGTTGGGCGACCGCCTTCAGCTCAGGTCATGGTCCCGGGGTCCTGGGATCGAGTCCCGTGTCGGGCTCCCCCTGCTCTGCGGGGAGCCTGCTTCTCCCTCTGCCTCTGCCTGCCATTCCCCCCGCTTGTGCGCTCCCTCCCTCTCTCTCTCTGTCAAATAAAATCTTAAATATATATATATGTATATTGGGGCACCTGAACGGCTCAGTCAGTGGAGCGTGCGACTCCTGATCTCAGGATCCTGAGACCCATGATGGATGTAGAGATTGTTAAAAATAAATAAGTACGGGGCACCTGGGTGGCTCAGTCGTTAAGCGTCTGCCTTCGGCTCGGGTCATGGTCCCAGGGTCCTGGGATCAAACCCCACATCGGGCTCCCTGCTCAGTGGGAAGCCTGCTTCTCCCTCTCCCACTCCCCCTGCTTGTGTTCCTGCTCTCGCTGTCTCTGTCTGTCAAATAAATAAATAAAATCTTTTAAAAAATAAATAATAAAAATAAATAAGTAAATTTAAAAAAAGATATATTTTGGAGAACAATAAGCAAAATTAAGAATTCTACTCTTCAGAAGGGAAAGCTGTGTAGGATTTCATAGGAATACAGAACCTCAGAGGATGTACAAGAAATGAGTAGCTATGGTTATCTTGACAGGACATTGCAGCAGAGTGACCAGGAGGCAGGGCCGACTGCCCACTATCCCTACGCGCCTCCGTATCTTATCCAATTGTGTACCGCGAGTCTGCGTTCCCATTCAAGATGGAAAGAGAAATGAAAAACTTGAAGGCTACACAAAGAAACCGCTCCGGTACCCACACAGGGCTGCTTCCAAAAGCGTGCCTGTGGCCTGGCTCCATCAGAAACATCTAGGCTGACATGTGGTAAGGAACACCTCAGGGGTCCCAGGCCTGAGCTCCTGAAACCCAAACTTCCATGCGTGGGGCCCACAAATCTGCATCTTAAACAGACCTTCAGTGTGGAGCCATAGGCTCGTTAGAGAACCAAAGAGCAAGACAAGCTCTCAGACTTAACAGCTACTTCTCAACCTGGGGAGTCTGTGTAGGGCCAGTTTAATGTCAAGGTTGTACCATTTTTGAGTTTATTTCCTCGAGGGCAGGCATCTACATAGCACTTAGCAAGCCGTGGGTGTGCAATAAATTTTAAATGGTGTGATGATTCACCAGCAATAATAAGCTTAGGACGTAACCAACAGCACTTGAGCTGGGACCAGGAAAGGATCACACAGAACCCCACTGTCTTGAAGACCTTCCGACCCATTCACCCACGAAGCCAGGAGACACGGTGGGCAGCAGAGGGGGAACCTCCTTCTCCTAGACCCACCTGAGGAGGTAAAAGCAGACCACCACCAACATCCACTAAATGTGAGCCTGGCCCCGTGAGAAAGGGGGGCCAAACCCTCAGTGCTCAAGAGACATCTGGTGAGCAAACCTGAGCTCTCAGGAGGCCAGAAGTGGGTCTGCTCCATCTTGGACTACTGGTCCCTCAATACAGCAGTGCCTACCAGATCAGTGGTGGCTGAGCTCACACACACCAGACCCTCTCCGCCTCCTGCGACCCTCCCCACAGACCAGGCCGCAGGCCCTCTTCTTCTCCAGCAAGGACACTCTGCCCCCTGTAGTTTGCTTGGCCTCCCAGCCAACCTCACGCCCACCCCTCCTGAAGCCAGACTACTCTGCGTCCCTGCACCTCCTGCAGAAATCAAAAAAATGGTGGCTGAAAGCAGAGCAGAGAACCCCAGCCCAGCCTCCCCTCATCTGCATCTCCTCCCAAAATGCCCAGAGCAAGGTAGCTCTCTGCCACCTTCCAAGGCTTTCCATGAATTTCACTTCGACTCTTCTGAATTCCTTCTTTCCCTGAATACTTCCTGACACTGATTTGCCACTGAGATGTCATCTCTGTGGTTCTTGGCACTTTTTTCCATCTAAGCAAGAACTCTCACATTGATTAACCACAGCCTTTTCTCAAGCCTAAAATCTGGCAGTAACGGGGAAAGGGAGGTGTGTTACTGACAAAGTTTTTTTTCTGAGGACACAAAAGACTTTTTAAGAGCTGTAATGACGCTATTATAAACCCAAGCTAACTGCAGAGCACTGGGTTTCACCAGAGGTGGTCCTCCAGCCCTCCACAACCCCAGGGGTACTCGTCAATGTCTGCAGACGTGTATGGTTGTCATGACTTCAGGGACGGGGGTGGGGTGGGGCACTGCTGGCAGGGAGTGGGTGAGGCCAGGGATGCTACTCACCCCACCGTGCCCAGGATGGCCCAGGACACCCCGACAGAGAACAGTCAGCAGTGCCAAGGGGGGATGAGCCCTTGCTCCTTTCCTATGAGACAAGCTAAGACCACCTGTGGCGCCCAATTCACGCATGAATTGAGCTCTGCAGACACCACACCAGTCATTCTCCACCCCCAGGTACTCACCAGAGGAGCACTGTAGCTGGCGTGGGGATTGTTCTGGATCTCCCACAGTCCCTCATTGAAGCCTTTCCTCTTGTTGGGTTTCCCGTACTTATCTTTACATTTGTCGTAAGGAAACAGGTCCTTGGGTCCCAGGAAGGCTCTGGAGAAAGGAACCATGGGGCCAGTCCCAGGTGAGTCAGGCCACCCAGGAGGCCCCAGTTGGGAAAATCAAGCCCCACCTGCAGACACTTACGTTTCGTGTGTACCAAAGAAGAAAATGGGGTACTTGTTGGGCGGGGGCTTCACGGCACCGTCAGCGATGTCATCGATCTGCAGTGAGAGGCAGGTCAGGGGGTGGCTGGGGGACACCTTCACCCACTGACCCAGGAAATCACCGAGAACCCAGCTAAGTTACTTGAGGTAAGCATGCTGGGAGGAAAAGAGCCTTCGACTGAGGGAGACACATCACCTTCCAGTGAGGCATCCGCATTCTTCTAGGAAACCCCCCTCTGTGCGTACCTGTCCCCTCCCCCCAGACTGTTCTCTCTGCCTCCAGGGTAGGTGCTTCACCTGAGCAAAGCTCCAGGAGATGGGGTCAAGCTCAGTTTCTCTACATTCCCAGGACCCTCCCACGGGACCCCTCCCGCAGAGGCGATCGGTGGTCGGTGGTCGGTCTCCCAGAGGCTGCAGCTGGCAGCTCCAAAGATGCAGAGGGTGGGGGGTGGGCTGCAGGAGACAGGCCCTGAGCATCCAGGAAGTCCCACCCTCTCCCTACAGGCCCATGGGCCCCGGCAGCTGTCAGTCACCTCCCCACAGGAGGCTAGCAGCCCCTTCACTTCCAATCAGGTGCTTGGAAATGTTCCGGGCTTAGAGAGCTGGCAGGAGGGGGAACAGAGGAGAGAGAGAAGCTGGTACTCTGGAAAGTAGGGAAGTGCCCGTAAAGTTTCATGGCTCTAGAGTACCCCCAAGAAAATAAGCCCCAGCAAATCAGGTTAAAGTGAGTTTTCTGGTCCCCATTAATCCCTTCCCATCCTCTACTATGCCTGGGGGTTACTGGAACCTTCCCTGCCACCCCTCACCCAGCTACCTTCCCCAGTTCTCTGGGCTACTTTTCAAAGTCCTCGGTCCCTGGGCATCTGGCATCCATCCCAAGCATCCCACTCATGCACAGAAGCTTCCCCAAACTTCATCTCCCTGAGAACTAGCCTGCCACGCCTTCCAGGCCTGGCTTCTGCTCTGACCTCACCGAGGACCCGCCTCTGAGCCTGAGGCTCAGGTATCCTAGCGGCAGCACCAGCTCCAACTGTTCTCAGGACCGCCTAGCCAGTGTCCCTTCCTGGCCTCCTGTGGTAGCCTCTCTGCACCCAGACCCCCAGCTCTGCGTGATGCCCTTCTACTTACTCCCACCCTGAGGGAGACCAAAAAGCAGGGAGCAGGGCTGAAATCTCCAGCCATCTCACAATACTGCCTGGGCAACTCCTGTGCTGCTTCAGTTCCAGCCTCATCCTTCCCATGCCCCCTGCTGCTGCCTGGGCCTCTCACCCCCCACCCCCCAAATTCCTTCAATCCTGTCATGCATATTCCACCAGCCTAGGTTCTGGGGCAACTTTGTCCCTAAGACCTGGGGATGACAACATCCAGGTCCCTCCTCCACACTGGCCTGCCCTGGGTAGTGCCTGGAACTGCACTGAGACTTCCAGACTCAGGACGCCCTGCAACCGTCAGACCCGCGGGGTCCCCTGGATCTCCACTTCTACACGGGATCCCCAAAGTCCCCTTGGCTCGACCCCTCCCCTCAGATGCTCTCTCTTTTGGGCTTGAGCCTGAAAAGGTATCTGATTCAAGTATCAGGGAGGACCACTCCAAGATCCCCCTCAGCCCCACACCCCAGCCAGCCCCCTCCGCCAGAGGAGTGTGGAGGGGCTCCTCACAGGGCACCAGCCCCCCGGCTCCCTTAAGCAAGTCTCATTCCAAGCTCTGGTCCCTGACACCCCACATTATCAGATGAGTCCTCTCAGCTCCAGCGATCCTGTGAACACAACCCCCTGCCCCGTTTCCAGCCCTAGCCTCCCTCAGCCCCCCTCAGCCTTAACCCTCAACCCTTCTCCCTCACTGCGTCCCTCATCTCTAGCCCACCCTCACACATGGCCTGGGGCCGCACAATGAGATCTTCAGTCGGGGCACCCCCTTCCCATCCCTGTGATTCCTCTCCTTAAACCCGGGTTCCTCAGCTCTCCTCACACCAGCAACTCCTTCAAACTTGAACCCTGCCCCCTCAGGCCCCAAGTCCCTCAAACCCCACCTCCCTTGGCTCTGGGCCTCCCGGCGGCCCCCACACGCCCGGCGCGGCTTCCCTCAGGCCCCGGGACCCCCAGACCCCCGGGGCGTGGTCCCTCAAACCACGGGACCCCCAGAACCCCGCGCGGGCTCCCTCAGGCCCGGGGACCCACAGACTCCGGTGCGGCGTCCCTCAGGCGCCGGGACCCCCAGATCCCCGCGCGGGCTCCTTTAGGCCCGGGGGCCCTCAGACCCGGTGCGGGGTCCCTCAGCCGCCGGGACCCCCAGGCCCCCGGGGCGGGGTCCCTCAAACCACGGGACCCCCCAGAACCCCGCGCGGGCTCCCTCAGGCCCGGGGACCCACGGACTCCGGTGCAGCGTCCCTCAGGCGCCGGGACCCCCAGATCCCCGCGCGGGGTCCCTCAGGCGCCGGGACCCCCACGCACCCGGCGCGGGCTCCCTCAGGCCCCGGGACCCCCAAACCCCCGGCGCGGGGTCGTTCAGGCCCCAGGACCCCGGCGCGAGCTCCCTCAGGCCCGGGGACCCTCCAAGGCCCCGTTGGGCGGGTCGCTCAGGCCCGGAGCCCCCAGACCCCCCGCGCGCGGATCCCTCAGGCCCGGGGACCCCCAGACCCATCGTGCGGGTCCCTGAGGTTCGGGGACCCCCCGACCCCCGGCGCACGGGTCCCTCAGGCCCAGGGACCCCCAGACCCATGTTGGGCGGGTCCCTGGGGCTCGGGAACCCCCCGACCCCCGGCGCGCGGGTCTCTCAGGCCCGGGCCCCTACTGCCCCACCCCCCCGCCTGGCCCATCTCCCGCGCGGCCTCACCCGGGCCGGCCAGTGCGGGTAGCCCTTCATCTTGGCGAACACCAAGTCCCCGGGCTTGAAGGCATGCGGCATGCTGGCGGCAGAAGGCCCAGGCCGCAAGTAGCGGCGGCGGTGGCGGCGGCGGCGGCAGCGGGAGGCGAAGCCGGGGGCGGGAGCAGGGCGCCGAGGGGGCGGGGGCGACCGCCTGGGCAGAGAGCCGGCGCGTGCTTATTGGACTGCGCGCCCCCGGAAGTCCCGCCCTCCGGCCTTCACGGGCGGGAGACGCCGTCGCTCAGGACCACGTGCGGGGATAGAGGAGCACGGGGACCAATGAGAATAAGAGTTGGAGCTGAGCAAGTTAACGGGATTGGGTAACGGGTAGAGCCAAGGGGCGTGACCCAGAGGCCTAATGGGAGCGGGGCGGAGGTTATGGGAGGTGAAAGGGGAAAGGTGGGAGGAGGGAAACGGAGACTTTCAGGGAGTGGCGAGGTGGGCCGCCAGGCTCCTTCGGGGCGGGGCCTTGGGCAGAGGGGAGGGCCATGAGCCTCCACAGAAGGAGGGCTTTAAGTAGGAGGCAGGCCATTGGCTGCCACCGAAAGAAGGCCTAATCCACGTAGGGGGCGGGGCACCGAAGGCGTCGCGCTCCCCGGAGCCGGGGCTTAACAGAGAGCCGCAGGCCATTGGCTACCACTCCAGAAGGGCTCAAGGTAGGGAGCGGGCATTGGCTACAATGGGGGGCGGGGTTTAAGCAGCTCTTCGCCATTGGATAATGTGATAGAGGTTCAACTCAAAATAGGGACGCGCCGTTGCCGGCCCGAGGGGTGGGGCTCGGGGAAGGGGCGGGGCGTGGGACGTTTTTGGGATAAACAGCCACCGAGTGCCCCGAGGACTCACGTCTTCACTCACGGAAAGGTTTTGAGCACCGGGTGCGGGAGCTGCAAGATACCCGATTTGGCTGTTCATTCAAGAAAAATGTGTTTCGCACCCCGTGGCCGAATTCCTTAACCTCTGTGCCTTAGTCTACCCACCTCTAAAATGGGATTCGTAATGGTACCAATCTTAGGGGGGCGTAAAAGTTCAGTGACTTCATCACCCCTAAAGCGCTGTAAACTGTGCCTGTCCATCAGAAATAGTGGGAGCCCTAGATGCTATTACCTGCTCTGTTAATTTCTTAGGAGGTTAATTTCCAAGGGTTCTAAGGAGGACCCTTGGTAGGAACTCGAAGTAAAGGAGCCAGAGTGCTTAAGAAAATGCTGAGTAGTGAGGGAGGGACCAGGAAGGGCTTTCTGGAGGATGTAGTTTAACAAGAGACTCTCAGGGTTAATAGAGATTGGCCAATAGAGTGAAGTGGATACAGTGAGGGCACTCAGGGCGGAGGGGATAGCAAATGCAAACGTCTAAGCTAGAGAGGATGGAGCAAGTGAGTGGGTCAGACAGGTAAGGCTATAGGGGTCCGTTGAGGACCTATCCTAGTGCCTTGTGAACATGTGTGAGAAGTTTGGCTTTTACTTTAGCTTCCTGGGGAAACACTGTAGAGATCTGATCACAGGGTACAAAGATAATACTTTAGTCTCAAGATACATCCTTATGCACGTGAAATATCTCTCAAAAAGACTTTTGTTTTAAAAGTTAAACATAGGGACGCCTGGGAGGCTCAGACGGTTAAGCGTCTGCCTTCAGCTCAGGTCATGATCCTGGGGTCCTGGGATTGAGTCCCTCCTGAGCAGGGAGCCCACTTCTCCCTCCACCTCTGCTGCTCCCCCTCCTTGTGGTCTCTTACTTTCTATCAAATAAATAAATAAAATCTTAAAAAACAAAAAAGTTAAACATAGACTTAGCCACATGACCCACCGATTCCATCCCTAGGTATCTACCCAAGGGAAATGAAAACACATTCCCCACAAATACCTGTACACTAATAGTCATCACAGCATGATTCACAACAACCAAAAAGTGGAAAGACCCAAGTGTCCATCAACAGGTGAATGGATAAAACCAATGTGCTATATCCTTACAAGGAACACTATTCAGCAATGAAAAGAAAAGCCGCACCGACACACACTACAACCTGGATGAGCCTCAAAAACACTATACTCAGTGAAATAAGCCAGACAAAAGGTCACATATTCTCCAGCATCATATGCCATTTGGTGGAATGCCCAAAAAAGGCAAATCTTTCAAGACAGAAAGTAGTTGCCTTGAGCTAGGGGTAGGAATCCAGAGTTAAAAATTGATAATTTCATACAAAGGGGTATGAGGTTTCTTTTTAGGATGATGGAAATGTTCTAGATTGTGGTGATGGTCTTACTACTTTGCAAATATACAATGAAATTCATTGAATTGTATCCTTTTTTTTTAAGATTTTATTTATTTGACAGAGAGAGACACAGTGAGAGAGGGAACACAAGCAGGGGGAGTGGGAGAGGGAGAAGCAGGCCTCCCGCAGAGCAGGGAGCCCGATGCGGGACTCGATCCCAGGACCCCGGGACCATGACCTGAGCCGAAGGCAGTTGCTTAACGTCTGAGCCACCCAGGCGCCCTGAATTGTATCCTTAAAACAGGTGAAATTTAGGGTATGTAAATTATATATCAACAAAGCTGTGTCTAAAAGTGATTTCTCGGGCTGAGAAGGACTAGAAGGTAGAATTGTCAGATAAAATTCAGAGTGCCCAGTTAAATCAGAATGGCAGATACACAACAAATACATTTCCAGTATAAGTACGTTCTGTATGTCTCATGCAATATTTGTGACATGCCTATACTAGAAAATTATTTGTTACACATCCAACAACATGCATGAACCTTGAAGACATTATGCACAATGAAATAAGCCAGACACAGCAGGACACAGCCCGCAGGACCCCACTCCCAGGAGGTCCCCGGAGGAGTCCCGTCCACACAGACAGAGAGGAGAGGGTGGGAGCCGGGGCTGGGGCCGGGGGTGGGGAGTCCGTGCTTCATGGGGAGAGAGTCTCAGTTTCGGGAGATGGAAAGTTCTGGAGACAGAGGGTGGGGTGGTTGCAGAACAGTGTGAGTGTGCTTCATGCCGCTGAGCTGTGCACTTAAAAATGGTTGAAAGGGTAAATTTTATGTTACGTATATTTTACGACAGTAAAAATTAATAATAAATATCATCAAATAGAAATACCTGATTCATAGTTCCTTAAAATGGTTAAAATTGTAACTCAATGTTATATAGATACCATTAAAATATTTGTTTATCAAAAATTCAGATCTAAGGGGTGTCCTATATCTTATATTTGCTAAGTCACACAGGAGACAAGTGTGGAAGTTGAACAAGGAATGAGGAAAATGGTGAGGAGGGGCCTGAATTAGGTAGGTAGAGAGACAGAGGCCCAGAGGGGGGCATGCCTTGCCTGAGGTCAGACATGGAGTCCAGGGGCTCAAATTTCATGTCTGCAGGTCCTCCTTTCCAAAGCCCTCCTGATTCTGTGCATACATTTCCCCTGGACCTTGAACCAGGGCAGAAAACCAGACTCCCTGCCCAGACCTCATTGAGCTACATTGAGCAGCTAGGAAATGATGAAGCTTTGATGAAAGCTGGGGCCAGCATGCTCCCAGAAGGTGGGGAGGGACCCCCAAAGTGGCAGGCCGAGGCAGGAGAGGATCCATGTCTTCCTGCCAGACCAGAGGCCAGTGAAGACAATGGTTGAGCAGTTAATCATCACCTGAGGAGGTTACTTCCTGTTCCCTAAAGTTACTTCCTGTTCCCTAAGAAATGGGGCCTGGCACCCAGCCAGACAGAACAGGCAAGCTGGCACCACCACTGCCCTCCCAGATCGGCAAGACACAGCCCCCTCTAACCAGCAGGTGGTCTGAGCACCTACTGTGTGCTACAGGCTTGGTCCCCAGTTTACTGGGGGACTGTCATGAGGGAATATTTACTACCCACTTAGCCAAGTACAATGATAAGTAACATTAGGGGCACCAGCCTAGCTCAGTGGGTAGAGCCTGTGATTCTTGATCTCAGGGTCATGAGTTCAAGCCACACGTTGGGTGTAGAGATCACTTAAAAATCAAATCTTTAATAAAATAAAAATAAGGGGTGCCTGGGTGCCTCAGTCGTTAAGCGACTGCCTTCGGCCCAGGTCATGATCCCAGGGTCCTGGGATCGAGACCCGCATCGGGCTCCCTGCTCAACGGGAAGCCTGCTTCTCCCTCTCCCATTCCCCCTGCTTGTGTTCCCTCTCTCACTGTCTCTCTCTGTGTCAAATAAATAAATAAATAAATCTAAAATAAATAAATAAGGGCGCCTGGGTGGCTCAGTCGTTAAGCGTCTGCCTTCGGCTCAGGTCATGATCCCAGGGTCCTGGGATCGAGTCCCACATCGGGCTCCCTGCTCTGCAGGAAGCCTGCTTCTCCCTCTCCCACTCCCCCTGCTTGTGTTCCTGCTCTCGCTATGTCTGTCAAATAAATAAATAAAATCTTTAAAAAATAAATAAATAAATAAAATAAAATAAATAAATAAAATAAAATAAAATAAAATAAATTCTTCAAAAAATCAGTAACATTTACTGAGCAGCCAATATGTTCCAGGCCACATTATTATTATTATAACTTTTTTCAAAAATTTTATGTATTCATTGGAGAGAGAGAGAGTGAGCAAGAGAGAAAACACTAGCAGGGGTAGGGGCAGAGGAAAAGGGAGAAGCAGACTCTCCCGCCGAGCAGGGAGCCCGACGTAGGGAGCCCCACTCGGGGCTCAATCCCAGGCAGGACCCTGGGATCATGACCTGAGCCGAAGGCAGAAGCTTAACGGACTGAGCCACCCAGGTGCCCATTTTTATAATGTTTTGAATCATGTCCTTAAATGTTTTTTTCTTTTTATAAGATTTATTTATTTATTTGAGAGAGAGAGCACAAGCAGGTGAGGGGCAGAGGGAGATGGAGAAGCAGATGTGGGGCTCCATCCCAGGATCCTGAGATCATGACCTGAGCCAAAGGCAGACGCTTGAGTGACCGAGCCACCCAGGCACCCCTATTATTATTATTATTTTTAAGTAACCTCTACCTGCAATGTGGGGCTTGAGCTCACGACCCCGAGACCGAGAGTTGCACACTCCACCAACTGA